TACTGTGATATTTACGGTCAATTTGAGCTGCAGACCAAAAATGTCGCATTGCCAGTCACAACAAAAGGTAAGGCAAGGTTGTAATGTGAAATGAAAAGTAGACATCTCTTTCACCACTCTGCTCCTCAGACTCTCCATCTCTCGGAGTGGGAATAGGGCCATAGTCATTCACATTTCAGTGAGCCAAATCACCATCCTTTTTTGGGCCGACTCTTTTCTCCGTGTATATCAATGATGTCGCTCTTGCTGCTGGTGACTCTCAGATCCACCTCTACGCAGACGACACCATTTTGTATACATCTGGCCCTTCATTGGACACTGTGTTAACAAACCTCCAAACGAGCTTCAATGCCATACAACACTCCTTCAGTAGCCTCCAACTGCTCTTAAACACTAGTAAAACTAAATGCATGCTCTTCAATCGAACGCTGCTGGCACCCGCCCACCCGACTAGAATCACTACTCTCGACGGGTCTGACCTAGAGTATGTGGACAACTACAAATACCTAGGTGTCTGGTTAGACTGTAAACTCTCCTTCCAGACTCACATTAAGAATCTCCAATCCAAAGTTAAATTTAGAATCGGCTTCCTATTTCGCAACAAAGCCTCCTTCACTCATGCTGCCAAACATGCCCTCGTAAAACTGACTATCCTACCGATCCTTGACTTTGGCGATGTCATTTACAAAATAGCCTCCAACACTCTACTCAGCAAATTGGATGTAGTCTATCACAGTGCCATCCGTTTAGTCTCCAAAGCCCCATACACTACCCACCACTGTGACCTGTACGCTCTTGTTGGCTGGTCCTCACTACATGTTCGTCGTCAAACCCACTGGCTCCAGGCCATCTACAAATCACTGCTAGGCAAATCCCTGCCTTATTTTAGCTCATTGGTCACCATAGCAGCACCCACCCGTAGTCTGCGCTCCAGCAGGTATATCTCACTGGTCATCCCCAAAGCCAACACCTCCTTTGGCCGCCATTCCTTCCAGTTCTCTGCTGCCAATGACTGGAACGAACTGCAAAAATCTCTGAAGCTGGAGACAATTATCTCCCTCACTAACTTTAAGCATCAGTTGTCAGAGCAGCTTACCGATCACTGCACCTGTACACAGCCCATCTGAAATTAGCCCACCCAACTACCTCATCCCTATATTGTTATTTATTTTGCTCTTTTGCACCCCAGTATCTCTATTTGCACATAATCTTGCATTCCAGTGTTAATACTAATTGTAATTATTTTGCACTATAGCCTATTTATTGCCTTACCTCCATAACTTGCTACATTTGCACACACTGTATATATATTTTCTGTTGTATTTTTTTACCCCATTTGTAACTCTGTGTTGTTGTTTTTATCGCACTGCTTTGCTTTATCTTGGCCAGGTCGCAGTTGTAAATGAGAACTTGTTCTCAACTGGCTTACCTGGTTAAATAAAGGTGAAAAAAAAATAATAATAATAAATCCCCAAAGGCCTTGATTAGTGCTTGTATTTACATAGCACGTGCTAATTTATTCACGCCTACCTTATCTGGTTTCCAGGCTTTCACCTGGAGTCATTACCCAGCCTTTGGCTGCTTTTCCTCCAGCAGGAAGAGAGGCTCATCAGCCTGGCTCTTGGCCCTACATGGGGTCCCAGCAAACCCACAGCGCCATAGAGAGAGAACCAAGGGGCCTGGAGGGGCCTCTAACCACTGCTCTCCAATCACAGGCTGTGCAGACTGTTCCATCTGTCCTCAGCAGCCACCAGGCCTTACATTTTACATTGACATTTTAGTCATTTAGCAGACGCTCTTATCCAGAGTGACTTACAATTAGTGCATTCATCTTAAGATGGCTAGGTGGGACAACACATCACAATCGTATCAAGTACATTTTCCCTCAACAAAGTATAGTGCCTTGCAAAAGTATTCATTCCCCTTGGCATTTCTCCTATTTTGTTGCATTACAATCTGTAATTTAAATGGATTTTTATTTGGATTTCATGTAATGGACATACACAAAATAGTCCAAATTGGTGAAGTGAAATGAAAAAAAAAAAACGTGTTTAAAAAAATTCTAAAAAATAAATAACGGGAAAGTGGCGCGTGCATTAGTATTCACCCCTTTGCTATGAAGCCCCTAAATAAGCTCAATTACCTTCAGAAGTCACATAATTAGTTAAATTTCCCGAGTGGCGCAGTGGTCTAAGGCACTGCATCGCAGTGCTAGCTGTGCCACTAGAGATCCTGGTTCGAATCCAGGCTCTGTCGTAGCCGGCCGCGACCGGGAGACCCATGGGGCGCACAATTGGCCCAGGGTCGTACAGGGTAGGGGAGGGAATGGCCGGCAGGGATGTAGCTCAGTTGGTAGAGCATGGCGTTTGCAACGCCAGGGTTGTGGGTTCGATTCCGATTCCCACGGGGGGCCAGTATGAAAAATTAAATAAAAATAATGTATGTACTCACTAACTGTAAGTCGCTCTGGATAAGAGCGTCTGCTAAATGACTAAAAGGTAAATGTAAATAAAGTCAACCTGTGTGCAATCTAAGTGTCACATGATCTCAGTATATATACACACCTGTTCTGTTGCAGAGTCTGCAACACCACTAAGCAAGGGGCACCACCAAGCAAGCGGCACCATGAAGACCAAAGAGCTCTCCAAACAGGTCAGGGACAAAGTTGTGGAGAAGTACAGCTCAGGGTTGGGTTATAAAAAATATCAGAAACTTTGAACATCCCACAGAGCACCATTAAATCCATTATTAAAAAATAGAATGAATATGGCACTATAACAAACCTGCCAAGAGAGGGCCGCCCACCAAAACTCACAGTCCAGGCAAGGAGGGCATTAATCAGAGAGGCAACAAAGAGACCAAAGACAACCCTGAAGGAGCTGCAAAGCTCCACAGCGGAGATTGGAGTATCTGTCCATAGGACCACTTTAAGCCGTACACTCCAGAGCAAACACGTTTGGTATTCGCCAAAAGGCATGTGGGAGACTCCCCAAACATATGGAAGAAGGTACTCTGGTCAGATGAGACTAAAATTGAGCTTTTTGGCCATCAAGGAAAACGCCATGTCTGGCGCAAACCCAACACCCCTCATCATCCCAAGAACACCATCCCCACAGTGAAGCATGGTGGTGGCAGCATCATGCTGTGGGGATGTTTTTCCATCGGCAGGGACTGGGAAACTGGTCAGAATTGAAGGACTGATGGATGGAGCTAAATACTGGGAAATTCTTGAGGGAAACCTGTTTCAGTCTTCCAGAGATTTGAAACTGGGACGGAGGTTCACCTTCCAGCAGGACAATGACCCTAAGCATACTGCTAAAGCAACACTTGAGTGGTTTAAGGGGAAACATTTAAATATCTTGGAATGGCCTAGTCAAAGCCCAGACCTCAATCCAATTGAGAATCTGTGGTATGACTTAAAGATTGCTGTACACCAGCGGAACCCATCCAACTTGAAGGCGCTGGAGCGGTTTTGCCTTGAAGAATGGGCAAAGAGGGGTCTGTGCTGCTTGGTCCTGTACAGTTTGTGCAAACGGCAAAGGGTTCTTCCAAGTATGGCCATTCAGGGAGGATGGGGAAGCTGCCCCCCTCCCCTTAAATTGTCCTCCAGCCTCCAAATGTGGTCAGTGTCAGCAAAATAAAACAGAACAACCCACTGTCCTTCTGCCGGCACAATAACAAAGAAGAACTACACTCCATTTCACTGGGTAATCAGAGAACTACACTCCATTTCACTGGGTAATCAGAGAACTACACTCAATTTCACTGGGTAATCAAATAGCAAATGATATCTGTGTGCCAATATTGTATGAATCTTGAATCCCACAATCAATGATGGCCATTCCATTCCTGAGGCGAATATAGGTTACTTCAAGTAATTACACGTTCTCTTTCCAAATCTCTCGCTTTTACTTCTGGAATTAATTCAACACTCTTTCCAGTGCTAAAGCTTTTATCAAGATATCACAATACGAGGCCCCAAAGTAACTTCACATAGAACTTAAAACTTACAGGAAGGTGATTAATCTCAAAACAAAATCAAATATTCACAGCAAAACATGACACATACCAAGGCCCGTGGAAAATGTATCTCCGAACCCGCACAACAATCTGAATGGGGGACAAAATGGCCACAAAGGGGAAATGTTTTCAAATCCCTGGTTGACAGCCTCCCTCCCTCTCTCTCTTTCCATTTTCTCTCATCCAGCCGATTAACAAACACAAGCTCAAACATTCTGAAAATAATAGCCAAAAACCAGCTGCAGATTAGGTGCTTTTACAATGTTGAGATTAACTGTATGGTTTTTAAATCTGTTTATTTTGGGGCCTACATCTGCTTCTCACTGTTTTGTCACATTTAATTGCTCCTCCCCCTTTTTATTCTTCCCTCACTTGTCCCATATCGCACCTGTATTAAAATGTGTCCTTTACAAGCCTCGCTCTTGCTCTGTTCCAAGAAGAAATGCAACATGCTGTAAAATAGGCCTAGGCGGGTTCCTTTGTCCTTACTGTCCAACATGTGAACTGTTAATTTGTTTGCCTTTCACGGATGGCTATCGAGAAAAACTTGAGGAAAAATGCTTTGGCTTAAGTTTCAATGACACAAACCCCCCCTCTGGCAGAGAAAGAAAAGGGGGAGAAATTCACACTCAAGGATGGCTTTGTTCACACATATTTAACGGAACAGTCACAGATTACATTCCAGAGAGGAAGAATTTACTCAAACAGTATGAAATAGAGAACAAGTCTACCAGAGAGGCTGTACTCACTGAGTTTATCATTTGCATAAAGGGGCCCTCTCCCCGACCGCTTTGTCCCTACTGTACAACTTCAGAGGACAGTGGCACACCAAGGAAAATCACCCTAAAACATGAGCAGCAGAGCCACTATGCAGACTACTCATTCCTTTTCCTGCCCTGGGTCTCAAGATTCATTCAAGTCCATTCCTCACCAAATAAATCTTATTCGAGCCTCTGGACTTCAGCAGTTTAGCAATTCCATCAATCACTGGGTAACAAAATATGAAAAGCAAGATATATTATTAAGATGCCAAAATGTCACCTCTCCCAGGGCCATACGCTGTCTAAAAGTTGGGCTACAGCAACTTACACTGTCTCTGTTGGGAATCAAGGAAAAATGATGTTGGGCTGAAACCTGATGTAATGTTGACTTCAGCTCCCTAAGTCAGATATAGGCTACACAGAACTTCCCAATCAATGCTGGGCAGCTTTAGGGCTGGGTTCAATCCGTATTGCTGAAGATCTGTGTTAAAATGTAAAGGTCATTTCCGATTGAGCCGACATATGCAGCATTTACTGTGAATGCAGTCTCCGCGAACGAGGGAACACTAAATTTAAATCGAGCTATAACACGGATCTTCCGCAATACTTCAGCGATACGGATTGAATCCAACCCTTTGTGTTCAGAACATGAATCTTACACAGCATAAACAAGTCTACTTGGCAGCATCTTGGCAGTAAATGTTTGAAGAACGCTACAAAGCAGGACAGAGAATGATTTCTGGGATGCCATATGTTCTGGGAGACACAAAGACACCTTACAGTGAAGGTGGCAGCGTTTGAGAAAGATGAACAGCGGCCAGTTTGAAGCAGTGCGACAACATGCCTGAATGCATGCAGGCCTTCTCTGTCATTTCATCTTGTTCTGCAGCACCAGGAGCAGTGGGTCTACGGTGAAGACTGATCCACCACTAAAGAGTAGGGCCGGGACGACACCTGTATCGCGATACTCGTTAGTATCGTGGCAGGGAAACCAAACACAAAACAAATTTGACTTCTTTAGGAAAACAGCCCTAATTTTGGAAACAAAACTTCATCATGTTGTCATCCAGAGTCAAATGTATTTATTTTGCAACCTATAGCACACAATATTTTACATACAGCAGGTTTTTAAAGGACTGTTGGATTCTAGCTTGAAATGTACTTATTCATGTTAACATACTAGAACTTATTGATTACTTTACATGTATAAGGAATGTATATGTTGGGGTCAATGAAGGATGGATAGGAAATTAGGGGAATTAAAAGTTACTGAGTGAGACAAGGGGAAATACAGAAAGTTAATATTCTGTTTCTAAGGAGGGAGGCAAAGGGCAACAGTCTAGTTTCAATTCCTGATAAGGCAGGCCATCTGTGGAACTATGGAGGAGCGAGGAATTCGGCTCGAGGTCATGTCAACAGTTGAATTGAGGAGAAACCTCTGGGAGGGGGGCCAGAGGGGCCCACCACAACGACCCTCCTACTACAGTCCTATCTCACACAAACATACATACATTTCACGCCCACGAAGGTTCTAGCATCAGTTAGGGCCATGACTACACCAGTGAGAGGAACCAATTAAGTTCCTGACTAGCTACAGAGATGTTTTGGCTGTCTAGATGTGTAAGGAGTTGACCCCGCCTAGTAGGAGGGTATAAATATATGTGTTTGTGTAATCATGCTTTGTCTTTGCAGCTGTATGACCCAGTGGGTGAATAAACTTTTGAGCTTTTTGTAGTCGTCCATTTGAGTTTTTACTCTGTTTGTTCAGAACCTAACAGGACCAAAGAGTTTGGTCTGCTTCGTGTTTTCATTTTAGCCACTGAAAAAACATCGTAATACTGGTATCAGCACAGCCCTACTAATGACATTTAGCTGAATACGAATACCTATATTCAATGTCATGGGAGAAGCCAGTGTGCAATATTCCTTGGGTTCGGCTCTACTTGTGGAGCAATCAATGGATGGGGATTCTTGTGAAATTTCTCTGGAGTTCTCTGTTGTTACCATGGCAAGGCGAAAACAATCAAAGTGAACAACACTAATCACAACTATTGGGCCATGTTTTAAGAAGTGTTTGCACTAGTGCAAAAATCAAACAAAGAAAGGTTATATAACCTAAAGGTAAGAGAAGGTCTGTCCTGGTTTGAGCTGTACTTAAGGTATTTTATTCCATCCTGAAGATAACTCTTCCAAACTGTACTGGTGAAAACCCTTTCTAAATCTAGCCCTGGGTGTGTGCTACTTTCCTGCAGAAGTTTGACGATGGCTTTCAAGTTTCTCTTTTACGGGAATATCTGTAAAATGAGTGTGTGACCTGTTGGGAATTGTACTACTGTGTACGGTCATCTCACCTGACTCCGATGAGAATGGAGATGCACATGGAGCAGATGGGGTCAGCGATCATCAGGTCATACTTCTGCATCAGGATGGCTGAGATGATCACTCCCACGCTGCCCAGAGTGTCGGCTACGATATGTAAAAACACCCCTGCAAAACAAGATTGGTTGTCATAAGTATTTCATATCATCCTTATCTACAAATAATTTGAAGTCTGTACAAGTCCCGCAAGCAACACAGGGCAGAAGTAAAAAAAAAAACGTACTTTTTAACATTCATGCTCAAGACATAAGTATTCCGACTTTGGAAATCAAGCCACTGTAAGAAAGCGGTCAAAGACTTTCATTTTTTAACCCAGTTGAGCAGGAGGTTGATTTGTACTGTATGTAAGGCACAGCTCTGATTCTGCTGTAAGAGCGCTGGACTCTCTTCCCTTGACTCTGGGCTGACATTTTTATAGGCTAAGACAGTGAAATCATATTAATTGCTGCACAAAAAGGTTTTAGCCTCAAAACCTTTTCCAGGTGTTTAAAGGGGCACTTCAACCAACAATGATAATTTGCTATTTTTTAATTTTTTATTTCACCTTTATTTAACCAGGTAAGCCAGTTGAGAACAGGTTCTCATTTACAACTGCGACCTGGCCAAGATAAAGCAAAGTAGTGCAATACTGGTAGTGCTACTGTGCCTATAACCTATATTTTTAATTTGGGGCATTTTCTGAAGCCCAATCTAGTACTGCAATTGCACAGGAGGCATAATATTACAGTGACACAGGACCTTTGATGTGGCAAGGTTTTAGATTTTTGGTGAAAACTGAAGATGAAAAGGAATGTTGGAGGAATTCATTCCATGCCAAAAGTACTGTGCACTTTGTGAAGGGAAAACACAGTGCTTGACAAGATATATCAACCAACCTCCTGGGATAGACTAGCTTCATAACAATTAAACCCAAAGCAGAGGAAAAGTCCTCAACCAATGGCTAAACAAGGACAGGGGTTAAGTCACCTTTTGCACTGTCACCTCCCCCTTTTATTTCTCCCCTCCCCCTCCAGAGCCCCCTTTGCCACCCCAACTTCTGTGTGGGCCCAGTGTTTACCCTGAGTAGGCCTCCCAAAGGCCCCATTCTTTCTCACTCTTCATTTCTCTCTATGTGCTTGGTGAAAGGGACAAACTACTTTCACTTTTCAGCCCTTTCCCATAGAAGCCTGGACAAAGCGATTTAAAGTGACAGTGCTCCTGGATTCTTTCTCAGATGTAATTGGTGCCTTGAATGTTCCCCCACCAACGTCCCATATAATCTCTCACCATTTCAAATGTGTTGGCTGCGATGTTAGAAATACAATCAAACAGATAGGCCTACAAAAAACCTTACATCTATGTATAAAAGGGAGATATCAAATTGAGACAACACATATTCTTCTCTTGAACTGGATGAAAATTCATGACTACAATCTCTCACACGACATTATCGCCCATTATGGAGGTGACGGATGGTGGTGTACCGACGTAAGCACATATTTTAAGTTTTAAAAAAATAATAATTATGTGCGCAGTATACATATAATAAGTGAACAAATATGAGTAAATTGCTGGATTATGCTATGCATCAAGTCATTTCAATGTTCAGTACCTTGCAAAATCTGTTTGCTGGAGCCCTTGCCTGGTGTGTGCAGTTCATCTGGAATAAATAAATACATGCATTAAATACAGCAGACAATTAGTATTAACTATAGAAAAAAGGGCGAACAACAAATGAGATTTACAACAGCATTTCAACTGCCTGCATAGGTTCAGCGAGATGTCTGCTGGGACACAATATATATTTTTTATTTAACCTTTATTTAACCAGGAAAAGCCCATTGAGACCCAGTCTATTTTTCAAGGGAGACATGGCCAAGAAGGCAACAACAATGAATACATTACAGAATTAAAACATACAACAATACACAAACACATACATAATAAATGCCATTTAGCAGACGCTTTTATCCAAAGCGACTTCCAGTCATTATGTATGGGTGGTCCCGGGAATGGAAACCCACAACCCTGGCGGAGCAAGCGTCATGCTCTACCAACGGAGCCATACAGAACCATGACTGAAAGGTGAGTGAAGTGCTGCCACATACGCTTAAAGTGCCAGCTCACATGTCAAACTGTGTACCAAGCAAAGACTGATTGTGGTAAAAGTGACAGACAACAGTGAGTGAACCGTCAATAATTGCTCACACTGAACAATCTAATAAACAGCTCCCTTGCCCCTACATCTTTGAGTCCCGCTTGTAGAGCTGACAGGATTTGGAAGGTATCAGCAATGAGGCAATAGTGCCCCCTAGCGTTGTAGGCAAAGAGTAATTTTCAGCTAGAGGGCCACTAATTCATTGTGTACAGAGCTTTGAAAGCACAATCTGCAGTTCAAACAATAACAAAGCGACTGATTAGGTAAATAGCTGAGGTATGGGGCTGGAAAAATGTGACCACTCAAATTCATAGACAGCTAAGGATGAAAGGACTGACCATCCATGGTAGCAAAATTATAGTTTTAACCATGTTGAGGCTATACAGTGTTTGTTTACAATTGTGTTGTTTACAAGCAAAGGGGTAAAACAAGCTAATATTTGGGGTACGACAGTTGAACTAAGCTCACGAAGCATTTATAAGTTACACTCCAAGAATCATTGGGTATCATGAATTTAAAAAGTCCAGAAACGGATGTAGCAACCCATATTGCCCCTTTAAATGAGCAATCAACAAAGACCTGGGTAGGAATTGATTTGGGATTGGACCCCTAAATAATGCCAACACATTGAGAAGCAGAAAACTCATTAAAATGCTGGTTGCTGCATATTCATACACTGCATATTCACTCTCCTCAAATGTTTTGTGTATTTACCTAAATGGGGTTAAAACATTGCAACCCACTGAAATAACTACCAAGTCTAGAACAAGAGACAGGATAATTATTTCACACTGCATTACAGGCATTCTGTTTTCTGTGCCAGAAGGTGTTGTGGTCTCACCGTGGCAGTGGGGATCATCGTGGGAGTGGCCGTGCCCTCCGTGGCTGTGCCCGTCTCCATGGCTGTGCCCATCTCCGTGTTTGGACTCGTGCCCATGCCCCCCATGGCTGTGTCCGTGACCCGCACTGCCATTAAACAAAGAGTGGCTGTGGCCGTGACCTGCAGAGATAGAAGACACAGATTATTATCATTATTACTATTGTTACTATTACTGAAGTGGCCCAGTTTATTCTTGTGCACAAACACCTACAGCTAAATCTGTGTCAGGAGGAAAACATTCTACTGAACATGAAAGGTGAATGAGAATACACTTGGCCTTGGTGCTCTTCTATTCAGGGTGCTCCCTGCTTGAGGAAAGTGTTCAGCTAATTAACCTGACCAAAGCCATACTAGAGTAAATCTCCTCGGAGAGACAGAAGAACGGAACCAAAGAAGGTGGAGTGAAGGTGAGCACCAGAAGCAGCAATGATGTTTGCTGAACGGTGGAGTGAATGAATGGCCATTGCAGAGGACGTAGGCAGGGCAAACCCATTTTGGTGATTTCTGGTATATCATCAAAATAAAATAGCAGCAGGTTTTTGGACAGCAGTTTATACCTGATTAAGTACAATACCAATGGAAATTAATGTTGAAAGTTCAATTTATATTCCTAAAACTGAAAATTATGCTATCGCTGCTTCCTGTTGACAAGGCATCTAGATAAATATCAGGTTTGAATGAGTCCAAATCAATAACCAATATGCAGAAACAGTTTGTGATTTATTGAAAACATAAACTGTACTATCTACACATACATGTGCAACAATAGTAATCATATTACTAGCATTTTTTATTTTATTTTTACAAGCACCTTATAAAACTGCACACACACAAAAAAATGGTTGTTTTGACAAGTGGCAACAAATCACCGATATTGATTAGGGGGGGGGGGGGGGGGGAACAGGTTGAATGCTGTTGAAAATAACAACATCTAATGGAAACTGGAGATGTTTTTTTACATCACTGTTTAGAGAACAACCTGCAGAAGACAGTCAGCTACACTTTGGAGTGATGCATTTGGATTTGGGGGTCGCCAAAACGGAAAGATATCACGTTGAAATCAATTGCGCAAGAGGGGGAGATGAGGTTGCACGTCCTGTTAAAACTAACACAGCTCAAAAACCACTATCAAACATGGATTGGTAGACCAACATTTGTTAAAAACTATAGAAGACTATATCTTGATTTGGGTTGCCTGTTTGATTTCGGAGGCTTCCTAATGTGGTAAGTGTAACAAAACACCTTTTTTGTTAATCACTTCTTAAAATCAATCACACGCGGCTGGAATCAACAGGGCCACGGGGGGCTGCTGTTAAGTGATGTTGATTGTCAAATCCATGTATGGGGGTTTTTTTGTTGGGCATAAAGATCGACTTTCCTAGAATGGACCACAGCCGCAAACTTTTGGTACCATTTCATTAACGCGTTTTAAGTCCTGCGCATCCCGGCACGTGACAAAATCAATGGCACAAAACCAAAGATATTGATCTGTTTTAAGCAATCAATCTTATGTCATCGTGATGACTGTAAACTGTTATACTAACATCACCAATCTGAGGTAAAACAGGTAATTCCACTACATTTTATGGGGAGAAAATTCAAGCTTGTGTAAGGTAGTAACACAAACTGTCCACATTAGGGAAATTAGCACAATATAGAATAATTTAATCTGGCAAAATAATTAGGGACTTGGGAAAGAGAGAGAGGTACTTGGGAGAGAAAGAGTAGAGAGAAAGCCAAACAAGTGAGCCTTGGGAGGATTTGAGTGAACAACTTGGGGGACCGCCAAGTAAAGGAACCTTAGGGGGAAAAGGCAAATCACCTCATGGCTCCACCCCAATACTATTTGCTTTTAGACCTAGCATAGAAGCGCAAGGTGGAAGTACAGGAACATTGAAGAGAGAAATGATCAGGAAAGGAGTGACCACTTGGCAGAGTGTGAGGATTAGGGGAACATGTAGTGATATGGAGGTGTAAAGTGACACTGGAGAGAGAGAGGGATGTCCTGGTCTTACCTTCATCACCTCCGTGAGAGTGGCCGTGGCCCCCGTGCTGGAACACAAAGATACCCACCAGGTTGACCAGCAACCCAGCGACGGACACGGGTAGCAGGCGATCGTGATTCACGTGTGGCGGCTCCAAAGCCCTCTGTCAGAAGCAGCAGGAGACAAGACCAGTCAAACAACATCACAATGATGTTATTCAGAATTGATCATCTTAAATAAAAGGTAGATACAATTGTCAATTTGAGTTAAATCACATTGTCCGGTATTGTCCAAGCACTAGGCCCATGAAAATAATTCTAAATCAACCTGGTTTCATTATGTTATATGATGAAAATGATTGTGTTCTGTGGCATACCTCTACGCCTTCTGAGAAAATGAAGAAGGCAGTGAAGATGAGGAACAGGCCATTCACAAACCCCGCCAACACCTCCGCCCTCACATACCTGAAAAACACAACAGATGACAAGAATGAGAACAGTACACACAGGTAAACAATAAAGGCTAATCACCTATCCAAATACCAATGGGATTTAAAACAGCTGCACCACCTTTGTTACCTGAGTAGCAATACACACATCCAAATGTGTACTGAAGGTAGGGCTGTGAGTCATGGAATTTTGGATGACTTATTTGTCAGTCAAATGACCACCGTTATAATCGTTCGTATAGTAAAAAAAAAAAAAGAAAAGGGCAGCACATTTTCTCCTCCGCTCCTAATGGTCAGTGTGCCCTGTTTTTGGTAAGCCATTGGCTGCATGCATTTCATGATACTCGTTTGTGACAAACCCTTGCTGAAACAAGGAGCAACAAAGTTTCATGTTACCATGGAAATGGAAACTTCCAGCTTCAGCAGTCTTCAGTCAGCTGTTTGTTCACAACATTCTAAAACAGGCTAGCTTTGTCTCCGCTCCTCTCATCTTATATCAGCTGTTATATGTGAACCAGGCTTACTTTTACTTGACTGCTTTTGGGTAGAGTTTGTCGACTTAAAAATGAAGTTAATAAAACATTTTTAAAAACGGTTATGACTGTTATTTTACTTTCATCACAGTCTTCATCCATAATCATCGGTTACACGATTATACAATTACCGTGACAGCCCAAGTGAAGGTGCAAATTCTGTCAAAGAACGCTTTAGTGCTCACCAGGAGGATTGGCAACCTTGGATATCAATAAAGGCATTAGATCAAAAATAATGCAGGTAACCGTATACGCTTGGAAAGTGGCGCCGTCACAAACGTCAACATGGAAACATTAGCAGACACACCTTATCAGTTTGAGGCAGCGTAACCTTTGTAACTTATCAACGACTGCTCTTCTCTTTTATTCACCTGAAAATATCCTTTCCATAATAGTGACGAGGATGGGATGCAAAGGCTTTTAGCCGCGTTCGTCGAGAAGCTTCAGAATCAGCTCTCTGGAGGGGAGTCAAACATAAGTACTCCTCTTTTGTGGAACCTTCTGTGGTTTCCCTCACTGAGGGGTTGACTTCCCTTGGTATCTAAAGAGTACCACTGGATTTCAGTGAAAAAGCCTTGTTGTGTTGTCAAGAAATAACCTTGGTTTCATTAAAGTCGACTTGGTTAATGTGATACCGGTATCAGACACTTCTGGAGCCGTACGACAGTGTAGTCTGTTGGTACGGGTCTGCAGAGTGGAAAAGCCTCAAGGGTGGAGGCGCAGCACTGAATATGCGGGGGAACGGGTACGTGAGTGCTCGTATACATCAATTAAAACATCTTAAAAACGCCTTTCGATACTGCTATAGCAAAAGATCAAACCACCCACGGGCCATATGTTTGACACCCCTGGTCTACATTGATCGCATACGTACCCATATGAGAAGGAGTCATTCGACCTCCACCTGGAGATCACTGAGGCTGCAAGTCCGGCTAAAAGTGCAGTGCAGTCGAAGAACATGTGAAAGGAATCTGATATCAAACCTAAACTGAGAGCACAATAAAACAGACCTTTTATGAATGACTAAGTAATGGCTGATAAAACAATATATTTATTCTTGCACATATTAGTTTTAGCTAGTTACTTGTCTATGGAAAGACATACATTTTATGATAGTGACATTTGAACACTAGCCTGGTGGACCAGACAGATAATCAGCTGGTTCCAGGCAATTTGAACACGTTGCAGGTAGGATGTCCTGGCAGAAATTAATGCACAAACAGATGTCAAGCTGAATAGACATTTTAATACACAGGGGAATAGCAATTTTCTCTAACTACCTAAAAAAGATATAGTTTGTGGTGCATTCCCACTGATAGGGGCAGTGCAAGCAACGGCTATGGCACAATACTTTGACATACGTGGCACATCCTGAAATTAGAGTTGCGTGTGTTTCGATTGATATACGGTCAGAACTTACCTGTTACTCCATATGCCGTACGATAATTCCACAAATGCAAAGGACAGATTCAGACAGAGAAAGAAAAACAAATTGCGTGATGTTTTATCAGATAGGATTGATCTGAAAAATAAGAAATTGCACTGAGTTAGAATCCCAGCTGATGAAAGCCGCAAGCTAGCCATGCGCTAATCACAACAGTCGAGCATATTGCTGGTATATCAGTTTATGAATGAATAGTAGCTATGTCAAATATTGTATCAATTTTGCTGTACAAACATGTTGACCGCACACAAATATTGAATATTATACAACCCCTCTAGGTTAGATAATTGAGTTACTACTAGATAGTTAAGTAAATCGGAAGTAGCTAACTTCCAGCTGTGTTGGCTAGAAATTCATTCCTGCATCTGATGTTAGCTAGCCAGCTACTGTATCCTAGGCATATTTTTGTCTATGTAGCTAGTTAGCTGGAAACAAATATCTCTCTCGTCAGCAACCAATGTGGATGGTAAATTAGCTACGCTAGCTAACAAGTCCATTCTGTTTCAGGAAGCTAACGTTAGCTTACTAACTAGGTAGCTACAGCATCATCTACGGCATAATTTTCAGATATCTGAATTGGCATAGATTCAAAATAGCTAGCTAACTAAAACATAAAACGACAATTTACCTGAACCATCCTGAAATCTTGGCGAGGAGGTTGAATTTGGCTGGCTTGTACTCGTCGTCTTTTATACATAATGGTAACATTTTAGCAGTCCCAGATTGTGGCAAACTAGCTAGCGACTGTTGGTTTGTGCTGCAACCACCAACTCAGCTCCTTGCCAAGGAAATGAGACATGCATCCGGTCAATAGAGGGCACTCGCGCTGCCAAATATTTTTTAATAGGTAGTAGGGACCATGATACAGGTCAAATAGATTAATAAGGTGGATAGGTTTTGAGATATATTCTAAAATAAAGCCAATTATATGTTGTTGTATGGACACAGTAGCCTATCCTATATTCAGGGATTATGTTCCCCATCAGATACTACTGCTACCCAGAATCCTTCATTGGAATAGAAGGCTCTGCTGCTCCCCATCATATAGATATCATCCCAACTTTCACCATCACATCAGAAACTGTTCTTAACCCTGAGTAGGCTACATTACCCTGATTGCACAATAGTGCTTACAAATGCAATGTCATTACAAAAACTAATAAAAAATGTGTTTATCCTGTGTCGCACAGTAATTTCTGATTTAATTCAACAAAATAATACATTTACTGTAATATAAATGAAAAACACACATTTTAGTCATTTGGCAGACGCTTTTATCCAGAGCGATTTACAGGAGCAATTAGGGTTAAGTGCCTTGCTCAAGGGCACATCGACAGATTTTTCACCTAGTCGGCTCGGGGATTAGAACCAGCGAGCTTTCGGTTACTGGCTCAACGCTCTTAACCACTAAACTACCTGCCGCTACTCAAGGAAGTTTATAATGCACATTTCCCAAATAAACTGTAAAATGGAACAAGGTTTACTTGAGTTCCTCATTTAACAACCTAGTATTAAGAAAGGTTGACAAAATTCCAACTTATTTCACAGTTTTCCATTATAGGAAAAACATATAGGCTACCCTATGTCATTTTTTCATATAATAGTAGAAAACTGAAATAAGTGTTTGTCAACTTTTGTTATGATCGGAAATGTATTAAAAAAAATTAGGCCCTCAATAATGTAATGCAATTTTGTTAAACGTTAGACTGAGTTTACTAAAAGAAAGGTACAACATGCAATATGAATAATCTGCCAATGTATTTCTCTTTTTTGACCACTAGATACCCCCCAAGCTCTGGATAAGCAAGCTAGACCCCATTGCTGGCGATGGCATGAACTCTACATTGCTGTTTAGGCTGTTGAATAAGAACGGCTGACAAAAATTATAGCCAGTATTTTTAGAAAACATAATTAATATTGGCTATAAATAATAGGACTGCAAACACTACAAAATATTGATTCTTCCACTGTGAGAATAGTGCTGCAAGTGCATCTATATAGCCATTTCCTGCTCTTCTGGATTTCATTATGAAAGAATACTGCATGAATCCCAGTGAGGATACCACATTGTGGCAACCAGGGAGTGCTGGGAAATAATCTTCATCACAAATTTGGCAACTTCCTGTGATTATAAAAATATTAAAGGAAGGTCCTTTCCTTCCCTGTGTTTCACACCAACACTATTTCCCTCCTTTGCTTACAGAAGGATTATGTCTGTGCTATATGTTTGTTGTTATATGTTATTCAATGTAGGTATGCTGGCCAATGCATTAATTGTGTCTGCTGAAATAAAAAACAAAAGTGGACCCATACATTAGGGGACAAAGAGACACTTCATAAACATGAGAGCTGTTGGAATCTGAGATAATCAAGCAACAAGCGAAGGTAATGATGAGAAACTGGGCATAAGGGCTGAATATTAAACAGTTGAAAAAAAGCAATGTTTGTGAACATTAAAACTGTTCTTCCAGAGGGGGGATGTTTCCATGGTAACTGTGTCTGTTGATCCAAATGGAAGAACCAGACAGGCAAAATACCTGTCTGCTTTGATAAAATCCCAGCACTGATGAACGTACAAAAAAGTTTGGGTGCCTAAAAATTTAAACAACACATATGACCATCTCATAAATTGCCATTAGGACAATGTTGGCTAGGATTGATTTAGTTGAACAGTTGTTCTTCTGTGATTAAAAAAAATATGTTTTTTTTGTGCAATTTGCATAAGTATGGGAACTTGCATCCAAACTGGTTGTGAAGTTGCAGTGCCATAAATCTGCTACCCATGCCCAAAAATTGGGTAACATCCTTCACCTAAAGCCAATCCTTCTTTAGCCTCTGAAATTGTAATCCATATTAAACTGTTGGTACACTTTGAATAATCTCAGGATTATGAAAGAAAAGTATAGTACCAAAACTTTATTGTATAATAACTTTAATATTATTTTGCCATTTTTAATCACAGTACAGTACTGATCCAAAAGACAAAGAGACGGGTGATAAGGCAGAGTATGAAATAAGTGACAACATCTTCAAAGACTTAGGTCTTTCATTCAATAACTTCATGAATATGTATTAGGACAGTGTAATAAACAAGTGCTTTGTTTGGGAGAATAACACATAACTCGTGACTGGCAATGAATGGCTAACCCATTCTGGTCTCATTAACATCAAGTGGTCTGCAAAACAACAAGTCACATGATGTTGTCTAATACATGAAGCAGGAACAAGTTCCTGTTTTATGTCTATAGAATAACAGATCCTCCTCAGATGGAAAAATGTACACAAGGTTATTTTGTAAAGGATCCTGTTCCACACATCCCCTGATTCTATAGGTCACCTGACATGTATGCATATGATCTGTCTTGCCTGTTTATTGCTCAAGTTGTATAATCTGAATAGAAATGAGCCTTTGTCAAAACAACCGTACACAAGACTGTTTGGTATCATACTACGGTGTGTGGGATGTAACATCCAAACCTTGCCAGGATTCCTTTCAGCCCTTGTGTCCATGGTAAGAGCTATGTGTTTTTGAACATCTTGCATAATGCATTATTGCAAAAATACTTAGTAAATTTAGAGTATAGTACAGTATAGAATTGTATGGAGAATTGGAACATCCTCCTGTTGAGAAATGGTCCAGATCTGATGTTTTCATCATCAGACCACCATCGCACAGTTCATCTCTCCAAAGGCAAGTCTGACTAAAACAATTGTGTTTACCTTGGCACTTCTCCAGCAACCAGACACTGGGTCAGAGTGTAAGTCATCCTGGTTTCGGTTTGTACACCCATTTCTAATCAAAGTCCTGTGAGTCTGTGAGTCTCTTCCTTTACAAGACGGTGAAATCACTATATACAGTAAACCATCACTTATGAACCACCACTTTTGTGCTGAAATCTTTTATTATGCTTATGATAAATTGGCATACAAATGCATGCATGTCAAATTTGTATTGAGATGGTCCTTGGCGAATTTGTGAGATCTAGTTGCCTGTCCAATAGTGCCCTTAAAAGGGATGCATTGATATCCATTCAACCAAATGTTTGGTTCCCTTGTTTGCAGGGAGAAGCATGCACAAGGTCATCACAAATTATGCAGCCTTTTGCTCTCCAATAGCAGAGAACACACAGACAGTACAGTACAATTTATGCTTAAGTAAGAATGCAAGTCTTGGCCAAGAATTCTAATCAAAGCAAAGCAAGCTTTGGGAAAGGTATATGGGGGAACATGCAAGAGTGAACATGGAAACACAGGTCATTGGAGAAGATAAACACTCTACCACCCTTGTACTCCCTTACATGTTTCTACCAACATTTCACATTTTAGTCATTTAGCAGACGCTCTTATCCAGGGCGACTTACAGTTAGTGAGTGCATACATTTTTTAAAATTCTGGTCCCCCGTGGGAAACGAACGCACAACCCTGGCGTCGCAAGCGCCATGCTCTACCAACTGAGCTACACGGGACTACAATAGACCTACCTAGACAAATGCTCTGACATTTATTGACTAATATTCATGGTATGTAAACTGGCAAGCATTCTAATGAAATATTCAAAGTAAATTGTAATGTGTGATGTAAGTATAAACTATGAGGGCCTCCCGAGTGGCGCAGCGGTCTAAGGCACTGCATCAGACCCGGGTTCGATACCAGGCTGTGACCAGGAGACCCATGAGGGGGCACACGTCGTCCAGGTTAGGGGAGGCCTGCAAGCTGACTTCGGTCGTCAGCTGGACGGTGTTTCCTCCGACACATTGGTGCGGCTGGCTGCTGGGTTAAGTGAGCAGTGTGTCAAGAAGCAGTACGGCTTGGCAGGGTTGTGTTTCGGAGGACGCATGACTCTCGACCTTCGCTTCTCCCGAGTCCGTAGGGGAGTTGCAGCGATGAGACAAGACTGTAACTACCAATTGGGGAGAAAAAGGGGTCAAAATAAAAAATATAGTATGAACTATGAAGAATTCTCACCCAGTCTTGTCGTACAAATAACAATGAAAATCAGGTCTGTTGGAGACAGGTCGAGCGGCAACCCAAACCTGGACCACATATGCACCCCTGGCGACAGGGGTTCGAGCCCTGTCTCGGCCATTCTGTCTGTTCCCCAACTCACTAGCCTTGTTTATACCTGATTCTAACTTGCGTCCTATGTCCTGATCTTGTCCACATTTTCAGACATGGGTTTATACATGGTGTTAAAATGTGTCTTTTATCCATCCACTGTGACCATATTTCTTGGTCCCTCCCTATATAAATTATTTGACAAATATTCTTTCTAAATAATATTGTATTATTTATTGTAAGAAACATATTGATGCCATAAGTCAATGGTACCACCTGTCAATGATTTTATATGGCTGGTCAATGATGATTTAAATGGTTTCACTGTACAGATACGTCTACACTTGTAAAATATCCAGACACAATGGGTCCCTGATTACCTCTGGAGGTGGTCGGGAAGATCTTTTCACAATCAGATCACAATGTGTCTTTTAATAGTCTACACCTGTCTGAAAATGTGGAGACAAGATCAGGACAAAGGACACATGTTAGAACAAGATATAAACAGGGCTACTGTCTCCCTTTCTACATTCTGATGTCCTGTCTGCCAAAATAAATAGAAATATGAAAGGGGGTCAGAAAACTTGATCCCCTTTCAAAAATAAAATAATCTAAAGCAGGTGTTGACCACGCATCTTAGAAACTACAACTCT